ATATAACAAAAAGATCATCGTTTTATTAAGAATCAACACTTCTTCATTTCGAAAGACTGGAAAGGAGGCCCTCGTGTTTGTAGCGAATAAACCTACGAGAATCGTTAAAGTTTATCGTTTTTTTACTGTCTGTTGCCCTTTTTGCGACCTTATCGCCGGTATTGTCCAAAAATTAAGACACTTCTTTGTATGTTCGAAGTAATTTTATATATTTTATCGTAATTTTTCTTGCGCTTAATCAAAGTGGGAAATCCCCTTCAGGCAAGATGGGCCCGCTCGGGTGGGCAATTAGAACACAGAATTCGCCTCATATTGCCCCTCGGGCTCTGCCAATAATATTAAACTCTCATACACACATCCATTTCATTTGTGTAATCTTAGTAGTTTTAGTTGGTAAACAAAAATAACTAAAATAAATACATTATTATTAGACACTTACTGAAAGATGGAGGTATCAACTGAATTTGTAAATTTCTGGTTAAGTGATGACAATTTCAAACCAGGCTTGTTGGCTCCTCTAATTTTACTGCAAAGTGGTTATCACATCAAAAAACGTCATAAAAGCACATGGGACTCAGATCCACCTTATCACTAAGTCAACTTTGATTGCATGAAACATTAACAAATGGCCTTTTCGATCCGTTTGCTCTCTCAACTTTTTTTTAGATTTAAGCAGCAAATCCTAAAGCTTAGTCGATTAAAGTTTCAGGCTTAAACTGAGTACAATATGGGCCACTTCTACCACTATTCAATGTACTTGTTCCTGTAGCTTGATGATTAAAGCCGAGTCTTACCTAACTTGAGGTTAACGAGAGAACAGCGCTTGAGCGTAGTAATATTCACTCCTTCGAATTTTTTTTTTCATCGGATGTCCGTGTAGTGAGGTTTTTAGATATCATCCGAACTTCCTGAAACTATGGTAGCCATTTTGTGGCCAAATGTCTCACAAATGACTCGTTTTGTCTTGTTCTGTTGTTTTTAATTCTTCATTTAGGTGACATATTATTGATTTAAAGTCGTGAAAGACGACTTTCAAGAAGGTGAGCTTGGAGTAAAGGAGCATAATTCTAAATTTAGATCGCATACGTAAAACAGCTTTACGTTTTATTACCTTCATGTCAGTTTACTCTGGAGCAGCAAGCAGAATATCAGGTATAATTCACCCTGATTATGAAAAGAAAAAGAGAATACCTTATTTCAGATGGAAGCCAGCGATCTACATGGGGAATGCTTTAAGATGATTGAAATTTGCAAAGTTCTTAGCACCATGCGTTCAAATTAAAAATCTGGGTGGAAGATCTCGCACCTCTTTTTAAATCCATAAAATCTCAAATGGGCATTAAATGTTCCCCATCAAGTGCCGGCTTCTTTTTCTAGTATAGGTCATTTTGTGTTTATGAAAAGTGGTACATAAAAGGGAAGTTCGGTCGATTTGAAGCAAAAGACCCGAACATGTTTTCTCAACGCCAGCTGTTCACAAAGAATGAATTAATTCTGAGTCAGGTTTCCTGTGAAAATTCCGGCTTAAACAACTGTATAAAACTGACGAATATACATCACGCTTTTGAAATCTTTGCCCAGAGCTTATCGTTTCTGATTTTCAAAATTATATAAGTGAAGTATAAAGATCAAACGTCTTTAAAACATCATTACTGTTATGGGAAAGACGTCCTTGAAGCTAATTTCTTTCTTCCAAAAATGGAAATTCAAAGAATATTTTACCACCACTTCTTTCTCTAAAACAGGTCATTTTACGTCGATAACAACGGTACATAGAAGGAAAGTTCAGTCTACTTCTTAGTCACGTTTCCTGTGAAGATTACGGCTGTCTTAGACAACCGTATCTTAAACTCTTAAAGCTTTTAAAACTTTCAGGTCTGAACTCGTCATTTTTCATTTACCACAATTGTAAACTTGTAATACTTAGCCTGTATAAAATATCATCGCATTTGAAAGGTGAAAAATTAAAGAAAAACTACCAGCAAAACTAGGGTGCATCAATTCTCGCACCATGCATTCATGACAAAATAAATAAAATTAGAAAATGTCCATTTACCTTTCAAAGTTGAGTTTCTTCGATGATGGAGTAAATTTCTAGCGAACTTAAAGCGTGAGAAGCGCACAGAAGGCGTAAAGTGCTAGTATTGTTTTGGCATACTATCAAAACAAATACGTATTTTAGTGTTTGATGACCAATCATCAAGGCTATTGAAACAAAAGAGCAAAGGCTTACTAACAGATTGTTCTCTTTTGATCAATTATTAATGACCAGTTTCACTTTTAACTAAAATTTGTACAAACCAGCTGAAACCATATGAAAACAAAATTAACTGTATCCCGTGGAAGAGTCCATTTATCAACAATCACTTTTACCTTGTCTGATCCCATATATCTATTTTCTCTTATTAAAGTGGACCTCACAGAAGCAACAATACCTATAAAATTTGCTAGTAACTCATCAATCCAAGAAAATTTGGTTTCCAAAGGACCGTAGTACTGGTGGAATCTAATTTGAAGTCATTCAAGTAATGTGGAAATATTCTATTCACCCGCTTTAAAAACAATTATTGCAAGGTTTACTTCGTTGTTTGGTCTTCTCTTGAAAAATGGAACTTTCTCAAAATATCAAGCCTTGATGGCTTACTGCGCAGGACAAAAACTGTCAGATTTTCATATGATAAAATATGTTGTGTACAAATTGCAAACGGCGGTGCATGTGACATACAAGTGCTGAGTCGGATTGAGTTTCCCCTACAGTAAATGCTCTAACCCAAAAAATGAGGCTTTCCTGAATTAATTAATGTTTTGCATTGACAAGTTAAAGAAAACGGGTTTTTTGCTGTCCATCAGGCGCCGAGCACAGTTACAATCGACAGAGTCGTGCTGTTGTTTTTTTGCGCTAA